CCTTTTGAAAAAAAATCCAAAAACTAAAACCAAAACAAAACACCCCCCCACCCAAAAACAACAACAACAACAACACAAAAACAAACAACAACCAAAAAAACAAACAAAACAAAACAAAGCAAAAAAAAAAAACAACAAAAACAAACAACAACAACCCACCACTTCCAAGCCCTAGGTTTTTTCAAAATCTGGACCGTTTTGTCTACATAGTTCGGTGATGAACACGCCCCTCCTCGACCTAGACACTCGAAACTCCCAATGTAGTCTAAGGTATGCTATTATTTATTGAACCTGACAGTCTTACATCAATACTCAGATTGAACTAACACCTTGTCAGCTCTATAAAGGTTTTACAAAGCATGACACGACGGTTAGACGGTTTGACGTTTCTTTCAGAATACGTTATCGTTTTTTCTTCTTTCTGGGTTAAAATTACAGTTAGCTGCTCCCCGTATCCCTTTTAAACATACTTGACCCAATTCGCAAACATTCGGGGTCACGACGGGGCAATAGTTGGGTCAGTGTTATGTCTCACAGAGAGGTGTTGGTTCTACGTTTGCGGATTCTCATATGTACGAGGGGGGCATAGCAAAAGCTGTTTTTTTAACTGACCATAAAGGAATAAAGGTAAAAAGCTGAAATTTGGGGTGAAAGCCGACAATCATCTTTCGAGAATGCATATACATTTGGGGGAATTTCTGATTACTGATTTTAACACAAACGCACTGTAAGTGAATGGGGGTATGTTGTTCTCCAATTTCAACATAGTAACGGAGAAAATTGAGCACAGGGCAGTAATGAAGATTTTGTTCGTGGAAGGCAAGCAACTACACGGTATTTTTAAACGTGTTGAAAATCAAGAAACTTGTGTTGTCTGATAGGCGGGTGACAGTCGATTGTTTGCGCAAAGAAACTAGGCTTAGTATCGTATCAGTTGAACGGATCTTAAATGAACATTTGAATATGACCAAGGTTTCTGCGAGATGGGGCCCACGTTTGTTGATTCCTCCTCAAAAAGTGCAACGACTGAATGTTTTAGTGAACAATTGCTTGGTCTGTATGAAAAGGTGAATCTAATATTTTTGAAAGACGTGTAACCATGGATGAGCCATGAGTCCACAAATACGATCTTGAGTCAAAATCTGCATCAATGAAGTGGAAATCGCCCTCGTCTCCAACACCAAAGAAGGCAAAGGTGCAGCCATCAAGTGGAACAATGATGCTATCAGTGTTTTGGGATTAAGAAGGAGTGATTATGACAGACTGTCTTGAAGATGGATATACGATCACCGGAGACCACTATTTTAACCAGAATGAACAATCACGAGAGGGCATAAAAGAAAAACGCAAAGGAAAGATCTCAAAAAGCATTTTGCTGCTTCACGACAACGCGCCAGCACACACTTCAAGAAAAGCTGCAGAAACTGCGCGAGAAAGAGAGTTTATAAAGTTTGCCACATCCGCCCCATCCTCCAGATTTAGTCTCCTTTTACTTCTTTTATTCACCAAACTGAAAAAGGATTTAAAAGGAAGGCATTTTGAAAGTGATGATGAGGTAAAAAAAAAAGCGGTAGAGGGCTGGTTTTCTGACAAAGAGAGGGTCTTTTATTCTCAAGGTCTTTTCAAGGTCATACACCGATGGCAAGAATGTCTAACTGTTGGAGACGACTACGTAGAGAAAGATTAATGTATGTTCCAAATTTCAGCTTTCTGCCTTTATTGCTTCATTGTCAGTTTTAAAAAGATAGGTATACCCATCGTAGAAGTCTGTTTTTGTTTTTTATTTGTTTGTTTTTCGTTGTTTTCCCCGTCTTTCCGACAGCCCTACAGGCCCCTTAACATGATATGGTATGATGATAGTGACCCCCCAAAAAAACAACAAAAAAAACCCAACAAAAACCAAGAACAAAAAAACACCCCCCCCCCCTTACAATAACACGACTGAATGCCGCACAGTTCACGTTTCTATTGTTAGATGTGCGCTGGACGACTACCCCAACGACACATACGCCACACAGAGCGCGTTCCACGCTTCCCTCATCAACTCCTCCATCCCTCTGGACAACAAGGGCAAGAGGGAGCAGTGCCTCATCCTCCGGCCTGACCATAGGCACAAGCTCATCAAGAGGGAGCTCCCTGCGACTGGACACGATGACGTCATCAATGGGTCAACCATAGCCCCGGACGATGGTTTGGCTGCAGTCCAGTGCGATCGTTGGGTGTACGACCATGAGTTTTTTGAGCGCTCCGTCATTGAAGAGGTTTGTTGTACTGAATTTTGTTGTTGATTTAATTTTTTATTTAATTTTTTAGACCTCTTTGATGCGCAGCTGGGATAATTATAATTATTATAGGTGCAATTTACTCGTTAATCCGATCCGTACGATTTGCATAACAGTCTGTCAAAATGATTTTTTGAGAAATACTGAACGTTTTAAAGAGATCTTCGTACTAGAAGTATTCTAAAATGTGAAGAATACAACCACGGGGGTAGAAAATGACCCCAGGGCGTACGGATAGAGTTAAGATCCCCATTCTGAGCTTTCTTGAATTACTACGTATATCCTGTGTCTCCACTTTCTGTGGTAGCCAATATAAGAGTAAGAGTAGCATGTTCCCATACGTGAAGGAAGATTTTATTTTGAAAACTTCTTCTAAAAAGGGAAGCGTCATGTAGAACCCAAGACTGAAGGGTATAACCTGATAACCTTCACCCTTTTTTTGAAAAATGGGTATTCCAATGTACAGCGCATTGAGCTACTTTTTTTGGAAATGCGCTATATAAATGTTATATATTATTATTATTATTATTACCTCCGCAGTTGGAGATCATCTGTGAGCGCAAACAATGGCGGACTCACGCCAACATGGCAATGATGGTGGGAAAGCTGGCATCGGCCTTTGTCCAGGGGATCTGCAGTGACCTGTGAGTATACTGGGCTATTTTGGGAGTGTGTAGTGACCTGTGAGTATACTGGACTATTTTGGGAGTGTGTAGTGACCTGTGAGTATACTGGACTATTTTGGGAGTGTGTAGTGACCTGTGAGTATATTGGGCTGTCTCCTCAGCCGTTGCATTAAATTATAATGCGGTACAGCATTGGTGCAACAATTCGCTGCCTTGAGTTACAAAGTTCTATCTGACATTTTTTGCCGTTTTGAGTGGAGTTACTAAGACCGTAATGACAGAGAACAAATGTATGATCTGCTCTAGCAAAATCACAATATTATTTGGAGTTGTTATCAAGATATTGAAAGAACTACATTGGGAAAAGCTTGGCGTGTTGTGAATCTCAAAAGAATTTACGTCAAATTTCTTTACATAAGAGAAGAAAACACATACATAATTCTGTAACCAACATATTACAAGAAAACACATACATAATTCTGTAACCAACATATTACAAGAAAACACATACATAATTCTGTAACCAACATATTACAAGAAAACA